GGGGGGAAAGTCGACTTTCGCCAAATTCGAATTTATCCGCCGGGTAAACGCTGATTCTATATTTTCTGGCCCGCCTGATACCCCTGAGACCCTCACTTGCCCCAGAAAGGCAGAAATAAAAAATTTTTTTTTTCCACCCCGAGCCATAGGTGTCGTATTTAGGCTTTTTTCGGGGGGGAAAGTCGACTTTCGCCAAATTCGAATTTATCCGCCGGGTAAACGCTGATTCTATATTTTCTGGCCCGCCTGATACCCCTGAGACCCTCACTTGCCCCAGAAAGGCAGAAATAAAAAATTTTTTTTTTCCACCCCGAGCCATAGGTGTCGTATTTAGGCTTTTTTCGGGGGGGAAAGTCGACTTTCGCCAAATTCGAATTTATCCGCCGGGTAAACGCTGATTCTATATTTTCTGGCCCGCCTGATACCCCTGAGACCCTCACTTGCCCCAGAAAGGCAGAAATAAAAAATTTTTTTTTTCCACCCCGAGCCATAGGTGTCGTATTTAGGCTTTTTTCGGGGGGGAAAGTCGACTTTCGCCAAATTCGAATTTATCCGCCGGGTAAACGCTGATTCTATATTTTCTGGCCCGCCTGATACCCCTGAGACCCTCACTTGCCCCAGAAAGGCAGAAATAAAAAATTTTTTTTTTCCACCCCGAGCCATAGGTGTCGTATTTAGGCTTTTTTCGGGGGGGAAAGTCGACTTTCGCCAAATTCGAATTTATCCGCCGGGTAAACGCTGATTCTATATTTTCTGGCCCGCCTGATACCCCTGAGACCCTCACTTGCCCCAGAAAGGCAGAAATAAAAAATTTTTTTTTTCCACCCCGAGCCATAGGTGTCGTATTTAGGCTTTTTTCGGGGGGGAAAGTCGACTTTCGCCAAATTCGAATTTATCCGCCGGGTAAACGCTGATTCTATATTTTCTGGCCCGCCTGATACCCCTGAGACCCTCACTTGCCCCAGAAAGGCAGAAATAAAAAATTTTTTTTTTCCACCCCGAGCCATAGGTGTCGTATTTAGGCTTTTTTCGGGGGGGAAAGTCGACTTTCGCCAAATTCGAATTTATCCGCCGGGTAAACGCTGATTCTATATTTTCTGGCCCGCCTGATACCCCTGAGACCCTCACTTGCCCCAGAAAGGCAGAAATAAAAAATTTTTTTTTTCCACCCCGAGCCATAGGTGTCGTATTTAGGCTTTTTTCGGGGGGGAAAGTCGACTTTCGCCAAATTCGAATTTATCCGCCGGGTAAACGCTGATTCTATATTTTCTGGCCCGCCTGATACCCCTGAGACCCTCACTTGCCCCAGAAAGGCAGAAATAAAAAATTTTTTTTTTCCACCCCGAGCCATAGGTGTCGTATTTAGGCTTTTTTCGGGGGGGAAAGTCGACTTTCGCCAAATTCGAATTTATCCGCCGGGTAAACGCTGATTCTATATTTTCTGGCCCGCCTGATACCCCTGAGACCCTCACTTGCCCCAGAAAGGCAGAAATAAAAAATTTTTTTTTTCCACCCCGAGCCATAGGTGTCGTATTTAGGCTTTTTTCGGGGGGGAAAGTCGACTTTCGCCAAATTCGAATTTATCCGCCGGGTAAACGCTGATTCTATATTTTCTGGCCCGCCTGATACCCCTGAGACCCTCACTTGCCCCAGAAAGGCAGAAATAAAAAATTTTTTTTTTCCACCCCGAGCCATAGGTGTCGTATTTAGGCTTTTTTCGGGGGGGAAAGTCGACTTTCGCCAAATTCGAATTTATCCGCCGGGTAAACGCTGATTCTATATTTTCTGGCCCGCCTGATACCCCTGAGACCCTCACTTGCCCCAGAAAGGCAGAAATAAAAAATTTTTTTTTTCCACCCCGAGCCATAGGTGTCGTATTTAGGCTTTTTTCGGGGGGGAAAGTCGACTTTCGCCAAATTCGAATTTATCCGCCGGGTAAACGCTGATTCTATATTTTCTGGCCCGCCTGATACCCCTGAGACCCTCACTTGCCCCAGAAAGGCAGAAATAAAAAATTTTTTTTTTCCACCCCGAGCCATAGGTGTCGTATTTAGGCTTTTTTCGGGGGGGAAAGTCGACTTTCGCCAAATTCGAATTTATCCGCCGGGTAAACGCTGATTCTATATTTTCTGGCCCGCCTAATACC